TGGCTGCTCAAAACATATACATCTGATCCCATCATTGGAACAACCCACACCACAATTGCTTAAACGACACAGAATTGTGGCCCAGTCAAGTTGACACACAGCTCCAACTATCACAGCCCTCAACAAGATGGATTGACACAGTGGCTGCAACAATGGGCTCAAGAATAGCAAGGATCGTGGAGCTGGCACAGGACCAGGCAGTGTTTCATTCTGTTGTACACAGGGTTGCTATGGGTTGGAGCCAACTCGATGGCACCTAACAACAACAACAACAAGGCAGAGGGTAGTACAGGGCGGGGAATGATGGGCCATGACCACGCAGCTTGGCAAGGTGCCTGCGGGGTAGGTGCCCATGGCTTTACCAACCGCTAGTATTGCATGACTCAAGAGTTCCGCCTCTCCTCTGCCCTGGGCATCCTGCAGCCACCAGAGAAAGTTACCTACTTCCTTTTTTCTTTTCTTTTTTTTTTTGCGCCTGAAGCCCCACACTGCAACAGTGGTTCCCTACCAGGTCCCCAGACACTGAGATGCAGCCCCCAGGTCCCAGCTGCCCCCACCCCTCAGAGTGGTATCCTCTTTGAAGCCTCTGCCCTGCCAGAGAGCATCCCTCAGGCCTGTCTTGGGGGCGCGGAAGCAGTCCCTAGAGACACCCACACCAGGCCCCTTTCCCTGAGCCCACTGCTCCACTCCTGCCAGAATCCGATCCCTGTGGTGCAAAATGCATTCTGCACAGGGCAGCCACCCCCTGCTGTCCTACACATACCCTCTCTGCTCCCCTACTCTCTTTTTGCCTCCCTCTCATTGTCTGGTCTCCACCTCTTGTTACCTTTCTTTTTATCTCCCATGGTCATTCCCATCTTGCCATCAAAACTCACCTTTCCTGAGTCCCATTCCATAGAACCCCGCACTCTACTCCAGCCAAGATGATCCCTTCCTGTGAGCTAAGGGCCAACACTGAGCCTGCTGTGCACAAACGCCTTGGCTGCTATAGATGTTCAAATGGAGGATTGTTGCAGGCTCTGGAAGCGCAGAGCCTGGTTGGGGAGTCAACCTAACACCAGCAAATCAGAGAAGCAAAGAATTACAGTCCCTGGCGTGGGCAAACCCCAGAGCTGGGGGAGCTCAGTGGAGTGGAGCATGATGTAGGGGAGCAGGAAGGGGAGTGTCCAGGCATGTTCTGTATGTCATCCACCCCATGACTGCCACCTTCACCCAAGTCTCATGGAAACCTGGAGGTGAGCCTCGGGGGCCTCAGCTCACAGGCTGCTCCCACCCAGTCCACCTTTGTGTCAGCCTGCCGCCCACCGCTCCTCGCTGTAGCACTTCCAAGGAGAGAACTTGGTTGGGCCTGAGTGGACATGGACAGTGCTTCAAATGCTCACTGCCAGGACCAGAGTGTGTGTGTGCCCAGTGCAAAGCTCTGGAATGGTGAATCTGTCACCGAGGGGTCAGGGGCTGCCATGAAAAGCAAAGCACAGGGCCAGTGAGTCGTGAAGACCAACTCGTCCGGAGCCCAGAGCCCAGAGCCCAGGTTGTGGCTGTGATGTGCCAAGAGCTTTTCAAGTTGAAAAGAGGCACATGACTGTTTGTCATCCTTGTCATCGTGGTGACAGCAGACCCCCTCTCCACTGGCCACAACAGTCAGGCTACAAGATACATGATCTCTGTCCAGGACGGTGTCCCTGCGCCCAGGACAGCCCACCTAGAGGAAGGCATCCAGCTGGGTGGGTCACCACTCACCTTCCATCAGGTCCTTATACTCATACAGTTCCCCTGCTCACTGTGAGGAGGTCAGTGACCCCGGTGGCCAAGTGCAGAGTGTCCACATCTCCACCACCACCGTGTCTCACAGCAGGTACATACTCAGCTGCAGCTGCCATTCTGTCACATCGCCTTCTTTTGACATCGACAGCCTCTGTGTTCTTACCAACCCCCACTGCTGGGGTGTATGCTGCCACCCTGCCACCAATACCAGGAGAGCCACCAAGATGGGAAGTGTCACAAGTCCCTACGAAGGAAGGCCACAGAACACAGGGCTAAACACCTAGGCTTTCAAACTAGCCTAATGGAGCCCTGGTGGTGCAGTGGTTAAGGGTTCAGCTGCTAACCAAAAGGTTAGTGGTTCGATCCCACCAGCAAGAAAGATGTGATGGTCTGTTTCCATAAAGATTTACAGCCATGGAAACTCTATGGGGCAGTTATACTCTGTCCTACAGGGTCACTCAGTCAGAATCAACTTGACCCATGATAGTGGGTTAGAACTAGTCTGACCTGGTTCAGTTCCCGTCCCCCTCACTCACCAACCCTGTGACCATGGGCAAGTTATTGAATCTCTCTGAGTCTCTTGTCTAATTCGGGAAAGTGGGGACAATATTCAGACTGATACTCAGGCTGGTGGCCAGGGATCACCAAATGGCCCATAGGCTGTACAGAATGAGAGCTCAGTGAGTGTTTGCTCCTACTGGTGGTAGTCCTATTGGTGACAGCTGCGGTAGCTTCCTTACTGACAAATCCCCCCTCAGAGCCAAGAGCCTTGAGTAAGAGGCTGGAGGCCTAGCCCTTCTCAGGGGGTTCTGGGCCCACCTACCTAAATCTCTAGCTACCTCTGAACTTATCAAGCCAGACAAGACCTGGGTCCCATGCCCCTCTCCACTGATGAGAGAGCTTCAGAGTGGTCTGCAAGCCATCTGAGATAAAATGTTGGGTCTCCATGCCTTTTTTTCCCCGAGAATCTGAGTTTCTGTCAGATTCCCAGTGGGGGTGGTACTCAGAAGTCAAGAACCCCCTCAGCTAGTTGACTTGTAAAGCTCTCTCAGCTCATCTCTTCTACGGCACTCATCCAGAACAAGCCTACGGCGACCAGCACTGCCTCTATAGGGACAGGCCTCCCCAGAGGGGCTGCCGTGGTGGCCTTGGCCATGGCTGAATCCATGAGGACTGGGCTAACAGAACCTTTGCTGTCTGCTCCAGTGCCCCCACCTGGAAGCATGGTGCTGGTTTTATTGTATTTTAACGTATATGTCAATGGACCCAAATCAAAATCATTTGGCAGTCACCAGGGGTTCCGTGCTTGGGCAGGTCGGATTCCACTGGCCACAGTCTTTAGGTTCTTCCTACCATAGGCGTTACTACCATGTGCCCATCCGGTAGTCAAACAGCCCAAACGATTCCATTTCCCCTTATGAACTAATTTCCTCCTATGATGTGGGGACTGTCATCAACCCCGTGCTAGAATGGTTGAGTGGCCTGCCCCAGTCACCCCTCTGGGCAAGTGTGGGCACTTCTGGTCCCTCTGGGCCCACTTGCCTGGCAGGTGGTCACCCTGCCCCACACCATCATGCCCTCCTGAGTGAGTGGAACTGCAGCTGGGCCTCCGTGGTCTCTGCCACCTCCAGCCCCACACCCCCTCTGCAGGGAAACATTGCGTGGGGCTTCCCCTTGCCAGGCAGGAAGTGGTAGGAGAGGTTGAAAACAGCTCAGGAGGGAAAAACAACCCCCAGGGCAGTGAGGCCAAGGCTTTGCTCCGCCCCACCTCAAGCACCACCCTCTGGGGGCAGCGGGCCAGCGCCTCAACTGCTCACCTCTCCTATTTGATCTTCACAGGCTTTTGGGACTCCTCGCTGAACCCCCGGCAAGCAGCAGGGAGCCCAGTGGAGCCCCCCAGAGACCTGGCTCCTGGGGCGCCTCCAGCCTCCAGCCTCAGGCCCGCGGCCCACTCCGCAGACTGTCCCTGCGAAATCCAGCTGGCGGTGGGGAATGACCGTTTGTGGTTTGTGAACCCCATCTTCATTGAGGACTGCAGCAGCACCCAGCTCGCTCACCCACCACCCCCTGGAAGCTGCCCGGTGCGCCTGTTGCCACCTAGCTCCAACGCTACCTCACCTGCCTCCCGGCAGGCCCCTCGCCGCCCCCCACCTCCGCCCCCAGCACCCCCTGTCAATCCCCCCGGCCCAGCTCGACCTCCTCCCATCTCCCCTCCTCCACTCCCTGCTCCCGCTCTTCCTTGCCCATCACACCTTTCTTCCCCTGTGGCTGGTGCTCCTCACTCCCTGGAAGCCCTTGCTTCCACACCCCCAATTTCTGCTCCCCACCTTGCACCCCATGCCCCAGACCCCCCAGACCTTCCAAGCCAGCCAGCCATGACAGCCTGCAAGAGGCTCCCACACCCTGCCCCAGGCCTGGGCCACCTCAGGGAGGAAGAGATGAAGCCGGGAGCTACCCCCAGCCCCCTACAGCAGGCCCCTGCTCCTCCACAGCCCACGAAGAAGGGCCTCCCTGCCGCACCCCCCAGGCGTCACCTCTCCGAGAGGGTATCCCTAGAGGACCTCAACTCAAGGAAGGCAGACAGGGGGATGGCATCAGAGGCGGACCAGCTAGGCCCTTCCAGGGCAACCTCGCTTAGCCTGCCTCTCCAGGGGACCTCAGACAGTTCTGCGGACAGGCCTCAGAGGACCACAGAGCAACTCCAGAAAGGGGAGGCCAAAGCTAGTGGCCTGGGCAGCATGCAGGAGCCACCAAGGAAAACCAAGCAGCCCCCAGTGCCACCCCCCAGGAAGAAGTGCATCTCTCGGCAGCTGGCCTCAGCCCTCCCAAGTCCCTTGGAGAGCTCGGAGCCCTCCACGGAGGAGGTGGCCCCTGAGAAGCCCCGACCTGGGCCACCCAGGGAAAGCCCAAGCCCTGTTCCCCAGGCGGGCACTGAGGACCTGCACGCCCAGGCCGGTACACAACCCCAGAGCTCCCCAGAGTTCCAAGGCTCCGTGGCCTCCCTCTCCGACAGCCTGGGCGTGCCCGCCTCGGCCGCGGACCAGGACTCGTACTCTACCAGCAGCACGGAGGAGGAGCTGGAGCAGTACAGCAGTCCCGGGATGAAGAAGACGCCCGCCATGATCCTGGGCAAAGCGCGGCACCGGCTGAGCTTTGCCAGCTTCACCAGCGTCTTCCACGCCTTTCTCTCCAACAACCGCAAGCTGTACAAGAAGGTGGTGGAGCTGGCTCAGGACAAGACCTCGTACTTTGGCAACCTGGTGCAGGACTACAAGGTGTACAGCCTGGAAATGATGGCGCACCAGGCCTCCAGCACCGAGATGCTGCAGGAGATCCGAACAATGATGACCCAGCTCAAGAGCTACCTACTGCAGAGCACCGAGCTCAAGGCCCTGGTGGACCCCACCCTGCACGTGGAGGAAGAGCTCGGTCAGTGCCGGGGCGGGGCTGGGAATGGGTGCCAGGGAGGGAAGAGCCAGGGGGCTCGTAGGCTCAGGAGCCATTTAGGACAGAAGGGGCCTCTAGGGTAGACATGCTGGTGCCCCTGCCGTATCCCCTGGCCTGGCCTGGTATATCCATCCCAGCATGGCTGCAAGTGTTGGCTGCAAAGGCTCAGAGCGGCCCATTTCTGGAGGATTCATCTTGGCCAGATAGGATCCGTAATGCCTGCAGCCCCTTCCCTGGACTGGCAGCTCTCAGCCAGTTACTCAGCCATGGAATACAAAAGGCCGTCCCCCGGCCTCAAGGTGGGCCCCACCATTGGATGCTCTAGAGCTCCCCGTGGAGTCAAAATGTGGCTGAGACATCCCTTGTTCCAGCCCTTGGCCAGCCCCATCCTCCTTTCTCCCTCCTCCTCTTCTAAGCTCTCTTCCCAAATCAGTGGTGTGCCCTAACTCGGGCTTCGCTTCCAGGGAACCAACCCCAAGACAGCTTGCTGCTCGGCCACTCTATCTAAGCTTCCTTAGCTCCCCTCCGTCCCCCACCAGCCTCTAATCCAATAGCTATTACCCCTTTTTTGATAATGATCGACACAGTGAGAAATACTTTTACAGTGCACTCAATTACACATACATATAAATATTTCAAATATTCAGCGAGATCACACTGACCTGGCTCCCGTGTGTGAAGACACTGAATGACTTCTAAACCAGCTGCAAATAGACAAACACAGACACACACACACACCCAACAAGCCCTCAAATGCCACCAGCCCTGGAGCCCCCCAGGCCACTGCACCCAATTCAACAATGAAAGGGTCAATGTCACAATAGAGGACATTTGGAACTCTGCAGCTAGGTAGATTCATAGTGAATGTTTCTTAAGAAGAGCTGAAGGGGTCACCATTCCCAGGGTGATTGGATTTTGACTGCAGACTCCTGAAATGGCTAAGTCTGCAAGGTTCAAGGACGGAGGCGGAGTTCCGGCCAGGTGAAGGGTGGAGGAGTTGAGATCTGGGGAGACTGCTGGAGACCAGTGGTACCCTGCTAGCATCTGCCCGGGCCCCTGGGTTGTGGACAGCCTATTACCTGGGGGCAGGAAGCTCAGGGTTGCAAGGATGTGGCCAGCAGGGGCTGGTCCCCCAGGTAACCAGGTGGCGGGAGAGCCTGAGGGCCCTCTCCCAGAGGAGTCCCCACTCTGAGCAGGGAGTCAGCTGAGCAAGCAGATTAATCCAACCATGAATGAGGGCCTCCTGGCAGCCCTGCCCTCGGGGAGCTTAGCCTCTGAGCTCGAGTGGGAGAGAGAAGCAAGAGACCCAAATGAGTAACCATAGAGTAAGAGGTACAGGAGAGAAGGTGAAAGTGGCAGGAAGTGAGGTCAGAGTCTGAGGGCGTCTTAGTTCTCTAGGGCCTCTGGGACAGAAATACCACAAATGGGCGGCTTTAAAGAACAGAAATGCATTTTCTCACTGTTTGGGAGGCCAGAAATCTGAATTCAGGGCGCAGCTCTAGGGGAGGGCTTTCTCGGTCGGCTCTGAAGGAAGGTCCTTGTCCCAGCTTCAGTAACCTTGGCCTTCCTGTTCCTTGGAGGTCTCCACGTGGCATCTCCTTTCCCCTATTGTGCTGGCTCTGAGCCTAAACTGCTCTTTCTACATCTCAAAAGTCCTGAAGTTGGAGACATACCTCCACCCTGTTGTTGTTATGTGCTGGACCCCACTCATAGTGACCCTTCCTTGGGTTTCCTAGGTGATATCACTATAGAAGTAGATTGCCCAACCTTCCTTCTGAGGAGTGGCTGGTGGGTTTGAACTGCCAGCCTTCTGGTTAGCAGTCAAGTGCCTTAGGCACTATGCTACCAGAGCTCCACCCTAGGGCCTCATTAACCTGACAAAGAAACCCTAGTCCCAAATAGGATGACATCCTTGGGTGTAGGGTTAGAATTCTAACATGCATTTTGAGGGACACAGTTCATTCCATAAAGGGGGTGAGGGTGGGGTGTCATGCAGGGCAATGTGGCTTTCTAGGGCCCTTGGCTTTCACTCTAATCGGAAGGTGGGGATGGGGCAGATGGTCACCTGATCTCGCATGTTAACACTTTATATACATTTCCACATTCACTGTGGCTGTGGGGTCTGTAGAAACAGAGATCCAGTTGTGTTGTTGTTGTTATGTGCCGTCAAGTCGGTCCCGACTCATAGCGACCCCCTTTGGGTTTCCGAGGTGGTGAATCTTTACAGAAGTAGATTGCCCAACCTTCCTTCTGAGGAGTGGCTGGTGGGTTTGAACCGCCAGCCTCTGGTTAGCAGTCAAGGAGCTCTGGTAGCATAGTGGCTAAGACATTTGCCTGCTAACCAGACGGCTGGCGGTTCAAACCCACCAGCCACTCCTCGGAAGGAAGGTTGGGCAATCCTACTTCCGTAGTGATACTGCCTCGGAAACCCAAGGAGGGGTCGCTATGAGTCGGGGCCGACTCCACGGCACATAACAACAACAACAACATGCTGCCAGAGCTCCAGAGAGACCTAGCGGAGGCCATAGGAGGCCATAACCCAGGCCAGTGGCGACAATGCCTGGGACAGGGTAGAAGTCGCGGAAGGGCTGGGAAGTGGTCTGATTCTGGATCTTTCGTGAAGGTGGGGCCAACAGGCTCTGCTGGCTGACTGGTGTGGGGGCAGAAGGAGGAGGCAGATGGGTACCTGGAAGGGCACAGCACCGTCTGCCAAGTGGGGTGTCTGAGGGGAAGGTGGGGTGGCGGGCGGGAGCTGGGAGAAGCCCAGGAGAGTGGTCTGAGATTGGCACTGGACACTCAGTAGAGGTGAAGTAGGCCGTTGAGACGTGGGTCTGCTGGGAGGAATGTAAGCTGGAGGCATGAGCCCAGTGAGATCATGTGGGGGCCAAGGATAGGAAAGGCTAAGGCTCAGAGTGGCCCAGAGGAAGCTGAGACCCCTGCTTTCCAGACTATAGGAGCTGGGGCTTAGAAAGGAAGTCAGAGGTTACCAAGCTCTGGGGACAAGGCGGGGGGACTTTATGGGGAGATAACAGTGTATTCAACAGCAGAGACAGGGCAGGTTGTGGGTGTGTCATTCCTGGCCGTGACAGCCAGGCCCAGGATCAGCCAGGAGCTGATGGAACCCTTGAGGGTGTGTCGTGCAGAGGG